AAAATATCAAAATACTAACAGTGCCATGTTGCGCATGGGTGGTGTTCCTGTTTGTATTTTTGGTGTGCATTGCCAAGGCCACAGTGGAGCTCTCTGTTACAGCTTAGGGTTTATTAATAGAAATGAGGCAATTGCTTGGGCTATAAAACAGTGTACTGAGTATTATCTATGTTTCGAGTCAAGTTCTTTAACAAATTTAAAAATGAATAAAGTAACAAAAACTATAAAACACAAAAAACCACAGTCATCACCAAGTTTGCTAAACCTATCATTCACCAATATTCGTGGTCTTCGAAGTAACTTTTCTTCTGTTGAGTCTTATCTCTTGCAAAGTTCACCAGACCTACTTGCTCTTTGTGAGACTAATTTGAGTTCAGCTGTCTCATCTTGTGATCTTAGTGTTGATGGTTATCTTAGTGTTCCTTTAATTGGTAAAGACTCCAATAGTCACATGCTTGGCCTGGGCATTTACATTCGTAAGAATTCACCCATTTGTCGGGAAACTAGGTTTAAATCCACAGACTATCCTTTTATGTGCTTTCGTTTAGCACCACTTCAGTCTATCGCTTTTCTCTTTGTTCTATATTTATCCATCAACCAATATTGTTGTTGTCATTGACTTCATTGTTCATCACACCAAATGGCTTGGCTCTGGTGTCAGTGACTCTGCAGACATTAAGGCCCACAACTTTTGCCTTTCTCAATCCCCAACTCAAATAGTCAACTTTCCAACTCACTTTCCAGATAACTCGAATCATTTACCTTCTCTACTCGACTTATGTCTTGCTTCTGATCCTAGTCAGTGCTCAGTTTCTCCACACTCACCTTTAGGTGCCTCCAATCATGGTTTGGTCTCTCTAAAACTATTATCTCATCCTTCTTTATCATCAGAATCCCCCTATCATTGTACATCTTACAACTACCTTAAAGCTGACTGGGACTCTTTCCGTGATTTTCTTCGTGATGGGCCTTGGGTAGAAATCTTTTGTCTTCCTGTTGACAAATGTGCTTCTTATATAACTTCATGGAATCAGGCTGGCATGGAATCCTTTATTTCCTCTTGACAATTACAGGTCAAGCCTCACTCTTCTCCATGGTTTTCCTCGCATTGTACTGCTGCAATTGCCAACCGAAACCATTACTTCTATATTTATTAGCAAAACAATTCTCCAGAAAACAGAAGTCTGTTTATTACTGCTAGGAACCATTGTAAAAAGGTTTTGTCTAACGCCAAAGTCTGCTATTCTCAGATCATGAAATCTCGTATTTTATCACAAAAGATAGGCTATTATTGATACTTTAATAGTATCAATAATAAAGGCAAGTCTGTAATTCAACCTCTTTTGTATTGTTCAGACTTTGTCACCTCACCTAAAGACAAAGCTGAATTGTTTGCCTAGAACTTTTCATCAATATCATCTCTTGACTCCACTAGTTGCGTTCTACCTGATATAGCCGTCAAACAGGTTGTCCCGGACAACATACCTGTTATAGTCTTGCAGAAGTGTTCTCCAAAGCTGTCGTCTATCCTTTCAAAACAATTTAACAAGTGCTTATCAGAGTCTTGTTTTCCAGCCTGCTGGAAAGCAGCATCTGTTATCCCTATTTTTAAAAATTCTGGAGAGCGATCTGATTCGTCTAACTACCATCCCATTAGTCTTCTTCCTATCATAAGCAAGGTTTTTGAATCTTTAATTAACAAACACTTAATCTCTCATCTCGAATCTCATAACCTACTTTCTGATCATCAATATGGATTTCGATCTTCTCGTTCTACGGCTGATTTGCTAACAGTAATAACCGATAGGTTTTATCGTGCATTAGATAAAGGTGGAGAGGTTAAGGCCATTGCTCTTGACATTTCTAAAGTGTTTGATAAAGTTTGGCATGCTAATCTCCTCCATAAGCTTTCTTGTTACGGTGTATCTGGAAACATCTTTAAGATTATTGAATTCTTTCTTTCCAATCGTAGTATAAAAGTTGTACTTGATGGACAGCACTCTTCTTCTTATTCTGTAACTTCAGTGGTTCTTTAAAGTTTAATTCTTGGCCCTATACTCTTTTTAATTTACATTAACAATCTTCCAGATATTCTCAGATCTAAGGTGGCATTGTTTGCTGATGATACTACCATTTATTCTTGTCACGATAAGAAGCCAACTCCCTCTGATTGCTTGCAGTGGGCATTTGAGCTTGAAAAGGATCTCTTTTCTGCTACAGCATGGGGCTCACAGTGGCTTGTGAACTTTAACTCAGATAAAACTCAATTTTTTTCAGCCAATCATTATCGCAATAATTTAGACCTTCCTATATTTATCAACAGTAATGTACTCGATGAGTCATCTACCCTTCATCTTCTATTAACTCTCATTTTTTTTATTAACTCTCACTTCTGATCTTTCTTGGAAACCTTATATTAAATCCGTTGCAAAATTAGCATCTGCTAAAGTTGCATCTCTTTATCGAGCTCGACACTTTCTTACTCCGGATTCTATTCTTTATCTCTATAAATCTCAAACCCGACCTTGTATGGAATACTGTTGCCATATCTTGGGCGGATCTTCTAATGATGCCCTTTCTCTTTTAGACAAGGTGCAAAAACGCATTGTAAACATAGTTGGACCTGCTCTTGCAGCCAACCTTCAACCTCTGTCACATCGTTGTAGTGTTGCTTCTCTTTCTTTTTTCTACAAATACTATAATGGGCACTGCTTAAAGAGCTAGCGTCTCTTGTGTCATCTGCTAAAATTCATTCTCGTGTTACTCGTCATTCAATTAAGACTCATCCTTTTTCTGTTCATAAGTGCTCCAAAAACTCTTATTTGTTTAGTTTTCCTCGAACATCAGTTCTTTGGAATTCGCTTCCTTTATCTTGCTTTCCTGATTCATATAATTTGCAATCTTTTAAATCTTCTGTCAATCGTTATCTTGCTCTACAGTCTTCATCTTTTCTCTTCCAGTAACTTCCAACACTAATTAGTGGTTGCTTGCAGCCTTGTTGGAAGTGTAGATGTTATAAAAAAAAAAAAAAAACTGTATATTATATAAATTAATTTGTTTTAATGATATCTAAACGTATGAATTGCTTTTTTACCAATTTTTCAAAAAGTGAACACAAGAAATAGGCTTTAATATTATGGGATCTGTATACAGGGATTTGCCTTTTTCGTATTTTATATAATTGCTTATATATTTTTCAATTTATAGTCTTTTCGGATATCCCTAAAAATTTAGGTATAATTTTTGCGATACAAGCTTTTCACTCATCACTCTTAAAAAAGTTTGAAAAAAAAATTATAAACAACTTAATTAAACCAAAATTAAGAGGAAATAAAGGGAAATATATTCCTGATATTTAACCTAAACAATTTATTTACTAATAACCCGTATTACGGGTTGCTTACTGCTACTATCTTATAATTATACAAATTTTAAGATATGTTTTAAGTTTACAGATAGCAAATTTTACTTCAGAAAGTTTCAAGACCATTTATATTTAATACTTACTAATAAAATAAGAGTGAAACAAAACTAAGTTTAATATAAAATAAAACTAGGATGAAATAATTTTAGTCCAGGAGTAAAAACTCAAAAAACTACTGTTTGTGGAAAAAAATTTTATAAAGCTGAAACTTTGCCTAGTGATTCCCTAAAGTATGTAGATCGCGTAAAAAAAATGCCCCATGATTCCCGACAGGAGAACCCCCTTTTTTGGGCCCTATTATAAAATGACACATGCGCTAAAAAGTAAAAAAAAAAACTGTTTTCAAATATAGACTTACGATATACAATTTTTATGCGGAACAACTTTTTAAATGTAACTTCAAACTTCATTTAAAGAAATGAGAAACTTCAACCTACTGATAATGCTTACTTCTATGGCCTGCGCGCACATTGTCAAATAATGTTATGGTTACTAATTGATGACATTGAACTAGATGCAACTGAATGGGGCTGGAAGCAACATGACGAAGTAATCACACCTATAATGAACAATAAAGACATTGCGCCAGAAGCACTAACAAAGGTCATTAGTATAATTGCAAGGTTTGTTTTGAAATTAATGTATTTTTTTTGAACTCCTTGAAAAGATCTTACAAAACTTTATCGATAAAGCTTAAACTTAAATATTTTTTATTTCTACAACAATTTCCTTTTTTGCTAATCATTAAGACAACAACAAAAAACCCATGTGGTGGCAATGCATGTACATGCAGGAAATACAAAATACAGAGCTTGCAATTTTGTGGAACAGAATGTATAAATAGCAAGGTAAATTTTAACAATGAAAATTAGAAAAAAGATGTGTTCTCTCATCATTTATCTTTATTATCACATATCAATATTTCTACAAAATATTAGTCATATATTTGCTTATCTATTTCTTGTAGGGCAATGACATTGAAGAAGAAAACGAAATGGAAAATTATGAAGGTGACAATAGGAACATATTATGTTTCCCTGATTTCTAAATCCAAAAGTATATTTTTTTTAAAAAAAACAATTTAATTTAGATTTAATTAAATGTGTCAAATGACCATTTTAATGAAAGTTTTTATTAAAACTTTCAAAAAACTACTTCATGTATTAATAGCATTTATTTGTTAAATAACTAGTCACCCTTTCATTTTAAGACCTTAGTGTCTTTCAAGTTGTTCAGCATAAAAAATGCTTTAAAATGGTATATAATAAGTAAATTTTTGAAAATGTATTTTTTTGACAATTTTGGGCATTCGTCATTTAGAAATTGGGCCCAAAAAAGGGGGTTCTCCTATTGATAATTGTGGGGCATTTTTTTACCTATATACCTTAGGGAATTATTGGGCAAAGTTTCAGCTTTATAAAAAAATTTTACCGAAAATAATCTTATTCGATAGGAGTATTTGACCAAAAGTTCAACAGTAGTAAATTTTTCAAGAAAACAGTAATTTTTTATCTTATGATAAAATCTCCAACCTTAAAAAAAAAATCTGTTTAAAAAAAATAATAATAAAGCTTACCAAAGTTTAGGATTTTCTTTAACACTTACAATAGGTTTGTATTTTCGATAAACACTATTAATGGCCATTCTTTCGAATGTTTCAATCAAATTAATCATACTTTCAAACTGGAAATACAAAAAATAAAATATTACACTTAAAAATAATCTATGTGTTGTACGTAACAAACTTTAAAATATTTATAGTGTAGGGTGGAGTATTCCAAGCCTATTTTAAGCTATTCCTAAGTTAAAAAAAACAACAATGTAAAGCAGGCACCTACTTTCTTAAATAAAAAATTTAATTAAAAAAATAATTAATAAAAAAATAATTGGAATACTCTTAAGGGGTCTAAAGAGCCCATATTTAAAACTGACTACATAGATCTAAATTACTATACTCACAGGGGTAAGTTAGATATTTGTAAAATGCGGGTACTTCTGCTTAAAAATACTGCTGCTTATGAGAAACTTGACATACACAACCATCTTTTATTAAGTGTATATACAAGAATTATCATTTGAAAGTACTTTTAAGATATAATTAATTGAATTGAAAAACATAACAAAAATATATCGAAAATTAATTAAAAATAAAAAAAAATAATAATAAATGGACAAATTTTAAAAATCAAAAGTGAAAAATAAAGATTTAGATAAGAATAAAAATGTTTTACTAAGGTTTTACATTAAAAACTTGTGTTATTTTAGACACTTCTGCAGATGTAATAGGATTGCTTTTTTTTATCTTTTACTTTTGTTTATTGCAAAAGCCATTATATACAATTGAGCTGTTTGTTCTTCAAGTAACTTTCTTTTGATGCTGTTCTATTATTGCTGCTGTTTCCGTAGATACATTAGGACAACAGCTTCTTGCATAACAGATCTTGACATTTGTAACCTTGAAAATCTAGGGCTTCTAAGCTCTTGAGAAAGTCAATTCCTGGTGAGATATCATGATTTTATTATCATTAGTTTAATACATTATAACAAAAAGCTAAAAATTAAAACTTTTGTCATAAAACCATTATCCATATTTTTGAAGCAATTCCAATTTCACCTTAGACCAACATTATCCCATGCTAACCTACAGTGGTATTGCAGTAAATTTAAAATTAGATGTCAAGAAAACTCTCAATGACATCTCAATAAAATTTTAATCAGCACTAAAGCAAAAAGTGAGTCATTATTCTTCCATAGTTTTTGATTGGTCATAAACAACTGTACAAAAATTTTCATTACTTTTCATTGGTCATAAACGACTGCAAAAAACTGCAAATTGTGCAAGTTTTAATACAGTTTTACAAAGATTTTAGATCTTTTTTTTTCTATCTTTTTTTTTTTGTCAATATCTTGAGATCTAAAGAATCTTCGACATTATTTTTCAATATCTTGAGATCTTCACCATTATTTCTAAAAAATCTTAAATCTCAGGAATTTAATTTTTCATCATTTTAGAAAATCTCACATATTAAATCATTAAATCATCTCAGAAATTAATATTCAAAAAACAAGTTGTTTTTTTTTTCAACATCTTCACTTCCAAGGCTGCAAGTAACCACTATAAGAGTTATTGGAAGAGAAAAAATGAATTTTATAGGGCAAGATACTGATTAACAGAGGACTTAAAAGATTGCAAACTATATGAATCAGGAAAACAAGATGAAGGAAGCAAAATCTAAAAAAACTAGATGAAAAAGAATTTTTGGAGCACTTAGGAACAGTCACAGTAAAAGGATGAGACTTAATTGAATGATGAGTAACATGAGAATGAACTTTAGTAGATGGCACAAGAGACGCTAGCTCTTTAAAGCAGTACTCATTACAGAATTTATAGAAAAGAGAAAGAGAAGCAATATTAGCCAAGCACCTAATGATGTAATAATGGTTGGAGCTTGGCTGCAAGAGCAGGTCTAACTAGTTTTAAAATGCATTTTTGCACCATGTCTAAATAAGAAAGGACATCATTCGAAGATCTGCCCCAGATATGGCAACAGTATTCCATACGATGGCAAATTTGAGATTTATAGAGACAAAGAATAGAATGCTGAGTAAGAAAGTGGCAAGCACGATAGAGAGATGCAACATTAGCAGATGCTAAATTTGCAATCGATTTGATATATGATTTCCAAGAAAGATCAGAAGTAAGAGTTAATCCTAGAAAATAAAGGATATATGACTCATCGAGTACATTACTGTTCATAAATATAGAATGATCTATACTATTGCGATAATAAATAGGTGAAAAAAATTGAGTTTTATCTGAGTTAAAGTTCACCAGCCACTGTGAGCCCCATGCTGTAGTAGAAGTGAGATCCTTTTTAAGCTCAAATGCCCCCTCCAAGCAATCAGAGAGTGTTATCTTGCTTTTTATCAAGACAAGAGTAAATGGTAGTATCATCAGGGAACAATGCCACCTTAGATGTGAGAATTTCTGGGAGATTGTTAATGTAAATTAAAAAAAGTATAGAACCAAGGATAGAACCTTAAGAAACCCCTGAAGCTACAGGATATGACGAAGAGGGCAACTTTTATATACAATTAATAAGGAAAGATTCAATAATCTTAAAGAAGTTACCTGAAACACTTACAGTGTATCAGGTAACTTATTTAAGATAAGTAAATCCTTCCTTACATAAAAGACACCATCCATGCATAACATGGTACTGTTAGTACTCTGATATTTTTAAGCTGTTGATGGAATCAGCTTCTCTGAGAGCTTCGACAGAGTTCGGAAACCTGACTACTGGCCAGTCTCACAACCATAAAACTGTAATTTAAAGCTGTGCCCTCATTAGGAGATAATAGAATGAGTTGCCTGGTCATAAAAACACAAGCAAAACCCATGCATTGAGTCAAGAAAATCCAGCATTCAACATCTTTAGCTATACCCTTTTTAGAAGATAATTTTAGTGGAAAAAAATTGAAAAAGGAATCCTGGCATATAATTTCATTCAGGTTTCACTAATACCATTCATTGAAATGCAAAATTTAAATATCATTACTTAACACTTGACAATATTAGTTTAAATTTTGAATAAACAAAAACAACAACTTTTTTAACAAATTATTAGCTAAGTTAAAAATTACTTGATTCTTTGTAATTTCAATTGATATCTCTTTTAGAACAACATCAAGAAGAAACTATAATATTTAAAATATTTTTTATAAAATATAAACATGTATTCAAAATAACAAACTTTATACATAAACAATTATTGAGTAACATATCAATGATGGATGATGGTTCAATGTCTCACAATCACACATCAACCACATGACTTTTTAATGTAGCCAAAGGCAACATTAAGTCACATTTACTGAAAACATAAACCATTATTGTAATATTCTGTTAATACCTTAGGAAGACCCAATGAACTGTCAAGATCTTGGTCTATTTTTAACTCAATAGCAATTAACAGAGGCTTTATTACTAAAAACATTATAAAACAGATAAACATGATGAGCTTTGAGGAATTATAATGTTCCAAACAATAATGTTTTTAAATGGAAACAAAATATCACTAATACATATTTGAAAACCTTGCAAAATTTAAATTAAAAAAAAGAAACATATTGACTAGTAACTTACTGAACTCTTGAGGATTTATTTTATCAGCTATATTAATGTGATTTTTCATGAACCTCTAATAATAAATAAAAACTAAAATTAAAAAATCATTTTTCAGAAATAAAAATCTACAAAATAATAATTAACTCAGCTTATATAACTGTATTAGTACTAGTTAAAAAGTTACAACCTAATTTGTATATTTACATTTTGAGTCAAAAACTGTTTAAATTGCCATTTTATAACTTCTAATTATCATAAAATATTTAATCAAATTAACATAGTTAAATGTTAATTTGCACCTAAATAACTGTTGAGGGTGTTAATTTGGTAATTTTTGTAATAATAATAAAGTGTGCTCACAACTAAAAAAACCCAAACTACAATTTGTTTGTCTTTTTTTTTTTCAAATTGGTTTATATTAAGATAATATATGAACACCAAAAACTAAATATTTTTTTTAATAAGTGACATAGAGTATAACAGAGTAAAATAAAATAGCAGGTAAAATGAAATAGTTATGACAATATTTATTCTTTTGCCCTATTATTCTTTTGCCCTATTATTGGATAATCTTTTTGCAAATATTTTTAAATCACGTTGTAGAAAATACTTTTTTGAGTAAGATGATATCAAATTTTATTTTTGATGAAAAAAAAATTGTTATAAATTTTTAAGTTTTCGTATGCAAAATAAGATTGTTTTTTATTATTTTGAAAAACTCTAAAAGTTAAATTTGATATTATTAAACTTAAAAAGTTTTCTGGTATAACTTTTTATGCTGATCAAGAATCTTTTTTCAAAATTAAATTTCCTATTTAGGAAAAAAAGTTATGAGTAAAAAATGGAAAAGGAGATAGGGTTGAATGAAATACGCAAATAATAAGTGAAGCAATAGCTCACTTCTTAAATGCAGCTTTTTTTTTATTAAATCTTAAGTGAACAATAAATCTCCAACTTAAAGTTTTTTGTATTGAAAACATTTTTTCAAAGAAATTTTTCTCAACTTAAATGATTAAATTTTACTGACTACTTTTGATAAATGATTCTAATGAATGAATGAAATACTAGTTACTCTCTTATTAAATGCGGTTTTTATTAAGTCTCAAGTGACCAAATTATGTCTATAAACTTTGTGCATAAATTTCAAATTAATTATTGTTAAATCTATTTTAATATAAAACATGCATCAAAACAACTTGCATGCAAAGAAAAAAGAAAAATTATACACCGAAGAGCAAGTTGCGCTTGCAGTAGTTAAAGTACAGAGCGGTGAATTTTCACTTAACAAATCTGCTAAATCATTCAGCATACCAGTAACAACTCTTCAAAGCTGTGCCCATGGCATAGGTGAAACAATTGGCAGTGGTTCAAGCACGGTATTGTCAAAATAACTTGAATAAGTTTTCATAGATACGCTCATCAAATTATCAGATTGGAGCTTGGTAGAACTTACAATTATGTTATCACGCTAGTTACCAACAATTTGTAACACCAAGATCAATCTGATTTGTTTCCTAATGGTACACCAGGAAGAGATTGCTATAACCTTTTCATAGACTGGTGAGCATCAGAGCTATAGACAATATTTCAAAAAGTGCTGCACAACTGAAAACTCAACTCAACCTCTTGTATCTATAAACGACTCAACATCATCACAAGAATAAAAAAGTTTATTTGATTTGATTGATTTTTTAATTGTTATTATTGATTGTTTTTTTAATTGTTATTATTGATTGCTTTTTGATTTTTTAATAAAGTGCTGTTTTAATTACACATATATCTGCGTATTTTATTCTCCCCGAATGTCGGTGTAGAAAGGAATAAATTTTTTTTTAATTAAATAAAGTTTCATAAAAAACTTTTATTTAACTTCATCATATTTTAACATAACAAGTAATTTCAAATTTAAAAATAACAACTAATTTTAAATTATAAAATACTAATTTTACATTTTAAAATAACAACTAGATTTTAAATTTTAAAATACCAACTAATTTTAATCTTTAAAATACCAACTAGATTTAATTCCAAGAATGTAAAAAAAAAGACAACTTTATTTGTTAAATTCAAACTTATAAAATGGGCTTTTTAAACTAAACTAAATAATAACCACGATGCACCATTGATCACTGGTATCAATTTTAGTATTAATTTATTTAGTAGTTATTTTAAAACATTTACCATAAATTATTGTAATTAAGAAATGAACTTAAATGAATTTTGTAAAAATATTTAAATTATATTTAAAAAAAAAATTGTTTAACCTTCCAATAAGGTTGTCCATTGGCAAATTGTGTTATATTAGTATTCCAGTAAACTGATACATTTGTTGCTTTGATCATCTATTAAATAAAAATTAAATTGAGCAAGGTTGACTTTTTTTAAATTTTTTACAATTTTGATGCAAAATACACACAATGCTGAATACTCACCACTTTAAAAATTTAAAAAACTATGTAGGGTAGGGTGGGGCAAGAGGCCCAGGTGGGGTAAAAGGCCCATCCTGCAGTTATAAAGAACCTAGGTAAAATATTATAATTATTGTTTTGTAGTATGAATGATAAATGTGTAACAGTGTTGCGAGCGAATTTTGGTGAATTTTTAGTAGAAATATAATTTTTAACAGAATATTGAAGACTTGACAGGTAATAAGAATAGGACATTTTGATTTTTTGCGTAATTTTAAAATTTTTTTGTAGATTATTGTTAAACTTAGTTGATTATTTAAATGAGTTTATGTATTTGTAAGCGTACAAATTATATATTGATTATTTACATAACATTCATTGTACCATAGAATAATATGTTTTTAGCAATTTTTGCATCGACCATTTTGGGGCAAAAAGCCCAGTTTGTTAATGGGGCAAAAGGCCCACCCTGAGCTTTTCACCCCTTGCATTATTTAAGTATATGTTCAAATTTTAACTTTATTTTATTTATAGATATGGTTAGAAATTACAAAAGGAAGACAAGTTGGGAGCAATAAATTAGGAAATCATGTGAATACTTTTTCTATTGAAGTTGAACAAGATCTTGTTAAACACATCCAAATGATGGAAAGAGCATTATTTGGATTAACTACAACAGATATCCGGCGGCTAGCGTTTGATATGGCCAAGCGACTTTACTTGAAGCATTCATTTAATACTTCCTCCAGGCAAGCTGGCAAGGACTGACTTAGTGGTTTTTTGAAACGTCATCCAGAATTAACAATTAGAGTTCCAGAGGCAACTAGTATGAATCGAGCAGTTGGATTTAATCGACCAAAAGTAGACCAGTTCTTTACCGTTTAAGAAGATATACTTACAAAGAATGCGTACGGACCTCAGTCAATATGGAATATGGATGAAACTGGCATCACAAATGTCCAAAAGCCAGGAAAAGTGCTTGCCACAAAAGGTGTTAGACAAGTTGGTAAAATAAAATAACTAGTGCGGAAAGAGGCACAACTGTTACAGTTATATGTGCAATGAATGCGAGTGGATGGTACATTCCTCCGATGCTAATTTTTCCTCAAAAAAGACTCATAGATCAATTAATGAAAGGTGCTCCTCCTAGCAGCATTGGTGGAGCAAGTGCATCTGGTTGGACAGATTCGACTTTATTTCTTAAATGGCTGGAGCACTTTGCTCTTCATACATCAGCAAGTATTTCAAATCCCAAACTTCTAATTGTAGACGGGCATCACAGCCATAAGACTCTTGAAGCAATTGATTTTTGTCATGATCATGGGATTGCAATGATAACATTACCACCACACTGCACACATAAAATGCAACCACTGGATCGAACTTTCTTTAAGCCATTAAAATGTAGCTACAAGCTATCTGCTGCTGTCCGCAGCAGATAGCTGGATGCGCACTCATCCAGGCAAGCGAATAACTCTGTATGACATGGCAGAAATTTTTGCAACAGCCTATGCAACAGTTGTTGCGGTGGATAAAGCTG